TTAACAGAAAATCAAGTCTATGTCCTAGTAATGTGTCACACTCGAGAACTGGCTTTTCAAATCAGTAAAGAATATGAGAGGTTTAGCAAATACATGCCACATGTGAAGGTAAGTTTCATACTATTAATTTTGATTGTGTTTAAACTAGGTACGAATTAGTAGAATAATATTGTGCAGCTTTTAATTTTTTTTTTATAAAATTTTATATTGATACATGAATTTTTTAATAAATTGTGTAAAATATTTTGCTATTATTTGCATTAAATAGTTTTTATCTGATGTAGCACTAAATTTGGGTCATAATATATTTTTACCTTCTAATGAATATTCAATATTTTCTATACTGAAAAATATGAAGGGAGGGGAGATTATCTCAAAGACTATCTCAAAGTCGTCTGTATTTTATCTGTATTTTTTATTTATACAATGATGAATACAATTTATGCTAGATAGGGACAACTGATCAAATTTCATGATTGAGATAAATATAAATTTGATATATCTGAATGTTTTTTTCCTAATTTTATATGAAAATTTATATTTTGGTTTTTAATAAAATTCTTTTTTTACTCTTTTTTTTAGGTTGGCGTATTTTTCGGTGGTTTACCTATTCAGAAAGATGAAGAAATGTTGAAGACTGTATGCCCACATATTGTTGTCGGCACCCCTGGTCGTATTCTTGCTCTCGTACGGAACAAGAAACTGAATCTAAAGCACTTGAAACATTTTATTCTTGATGAATGCGACAAAATGCTTGAATTATTAGGTATGTTATAAATATACACAGCTAAATTAATTTATTTAAGATTTACTGAAAAGAATCTACATGATGTGTAAAAAAATCTTAATTTACCATGATGACTATATTTTCCATCATCCACTATCAACTGAGCGATTCTTTAAAATTTGCATTATTTTTAATATTGCATTTTAAATAAATAATTAGTTGCGTTATATTATTGTTACAGATATGCGCCGGGACGTACAGGAAATATTTAGGAGCACACCGCACAGCAAACAAGTCATGATGTTCAGTGCCACGCTGTCCAAGGAGATACGTCCTGTCTGCAAAAAATTTATGCAAGATGTAATTACACAATCTTCCTCTTCACTTCGATCTACGATTGCTCCTGCCTCGTTGGCATATTCGTGTCCAGGACAAAGCTCAAGCCACACTATAAATATCAATGTCGGCGCATCCGCGGGTTAGGCGCTTAGACGCCGCTTTGAAGAAATGAATACTGAGTTCGAAAAAAAATGAATCTCGTTCGATATCTTTCGATAAACGGCACAATTAAATGCTCGACACTCATGTCCAACATAATATCTCGCTGCTCCTTCCGATTCTGATTTAAAGTCTAAACTCGGTGTCTGATGTATCATCATCTACATGTATATGTGGAGGAAGAGCATACACCTGTTTGTCTAAAATCGAGTCTTCAACCGACATGATGTTTGAAAGATCCGAGTTAGAGTTTCAATTAATAGTACAGTCCTTTAATTAGTTGCTACGCATTTAAGGGACAACACATAAAGATATCAATATGTTCAGGGAATATTGAGGGGAAAAAGATAGGGATATATCATATTTCTTATGAGTAATCATAGGAGTCAGGAGGAGAGTTAGAATAGAATTAGGCTCTATATGCAATTATGGGTGGGGGGCTAAGAAGACCTCAAGACAACCTGAAGACAGAAGAGCACAAGAAAGAAGATGCAAGAGGATATTAAGGGGAATGATTAGGATTAGTTAGGGAAAAGAAATATGAAAGTATAGCATAGCTCTATCGTATTCGCGTTTATTCAATCGCAAATTAAAAGCTTTATATTAAAATTTTCTTGTCTTATGCAAAGATTTCAATTGCATAGTCTCGTGGTTTCGTAGTACGAGTGAAATCAACAAGGATGCAAGTGCCGTGCATGAATCGAGCAATTTCATGTCGTAAAAGCCGTAAAGTCACATGAAAGCTAAATTACGCGAATCTTCGTGCATCCGTAAATTGCGATCTTTATTTCGTACGAGTGACGCAAGTCGGGTCGCGGCTTAGCGGATACCGGAAGTGAAAAGCTGAGCGTCTATGCCAACCAGAGTAATGTGAGTTGATTCTGGGCATCTTCTTAATGTGCCAGAAATTTGGGAGAAGAGATTTTGGCATCGAGTGGCCAGCGGATGTGATCGAACGTTCTGTCATGAGTGCGCCTTCTTAAGTTCAGTTGGGACAAACTGCTGAGTTTTCGTTGTTGGCACTACCCAGAGGTGGAAGTCGCCGGACCGTATGTAATCTGTATGATTAATCTCGATCGATGATTACGATTATTCTCTGCAACTGAAATGCGGGGGAGTCCCTTGCCGGGATTTTTGATGTTTACGGATATATACGGTAACTTAACGAACCTAATGTTGTTTCTTCAGAGGAAGAAAAAGATATATATTTGATAGTACATTTATAAGAAAAATAAAAAGAATGGTTTGGCTTTGTCTTTTTTGTGTCGCGCTTAAAGATTCTGTATTTAAAAAAAAAAACTTATATTTTTGCCAACACTGTAATTGTATCAAGGGATATGATTTTTAATTTATTTTACTCGTATTTTTGAACAGCTGTCTTTTCTTTATCGTGCATTTAATCGCATGATTTTTAGACGGCAAAAACAATGGGTTAAGATTGCAGACACAGCCGTAAAATCCTACAGCCTGAGAATTTGAGAATTATACATAGGCACTGTATAATTTATTTTATGGATTTGTTTATTTTATGAAATAACGTTCTTTGTGCAGCCCATGGAAGTCTATGTCGATGACGAGGCGAAGCTCACTTTGAACGGTCTGCAGCAACATTACGTTAAGTTGAAGGAGAACGAGAAGAACAAGAAGTTGTTTGAACTACTTGATGTTCTTGAGTTTAATCAGGTTTGTTTGCTAACTAGGACAATCTGCAGTGGATATCAATTTTTTCTTATTGTGGAGAATTTTCTTATGATGAAATAATTTTTCTTATTTCTTATGATGACTATCTTATCACTACTCACCAATTCTGATGAAGATTCTTCCAAGTATTTATTTTAAAAAGTGGTTAATATTTTAAGATATTAAATTAAAAATGTTTCTTCTTCAGATACCAGTTGTATTATCAATACTATTTACCTTGTAACGATTGCTTTGTATAGGTAGTCATATTTGTGAAGTCTGTACAAAGATGTATGGCTTTAGCACAACTTTTAACGGAACAGAATTTTCCTGCGATTGGGATCCATCGGGGCATGACGCAAGAAGAGCGGTTATCCAGATACCAACAGTTCAAAGATTTTCAGAAAGTAAGTAGAGTCTGTGTATTAAATTCTTTGAATCGAATCAAATTATATGTAAGATATGATTGATAAATGAGTAATATTTTTAGCGTATTTTGGTGGCAACAAATCTGTTTGGACGTGGTATGGATATAGAACGTGTGAACATTGTATTCAATTATGACATGCCAGAAGATTCCGATACATATTTGCATAGAGTTGCGCGTGCTGGTCGTTTTGGTACAAAGGTAATAAATTCTGCTGTTTACGATAAATTCGACTTCGTAATTTTTCTCATTAAATATTTAAGTATGATTATATATAATGAAAACATTTTAAAATTTATAATATAAACTTATATTATGCTGATAAAATATCAAAACAGAAAGGAAGTATTTAATTGGCTTATTGACAATTCGAATTGCAAAGTTAATTTGAATTTTGGAATATTTACAATATAATCGCTTTTACTAATTATGTATATGATTCTCTTATAAAAAAATATTTCGCAGGGTCTTGCCATTACATTAGTAAGCGATGAAAGCGATGCAAAGATATTGAATGATGTTCAAGAAAGGTTTGACGTAAATATTACAGAATTACCGGACGAAATCGATCTCGCTTCATACAGTAAGTTTACTTTTTTCAAAAATTTAATTTATACTTGTACAAAAATGTTATATTGAAAGTATATTAATTCGATTTATTTTTTTTTACTTACAGTTGAGGGACGATGAATTACAATGCACTAAGTCATAATAGTATATTTTAAGGCACATAATTTAAGTGAGTGAGATATTGATTAGATATGAAATAATATTAAATATTAATATTTAGAACTGTGCATTTAAATAATTAGTTTTTTGCTTGTAGTAACTTCTTATTCCACATATTCGTAACATAAGGATGGGCACCAAATAATAATTACAATTATACAATAGAAAATGTATTGCATTCACTGCAAAAAACGTGTTTTATATAAGTTCATCAGCTATTTTCAGTAATATCGAACAATAGATATGATCGGTTGACGTAATCTCTATAACCATCACTATACTTTGGTCAATACAATAAACTATTGATAAAGATGTACATTACATGTCTTATTCTATTTATTAGAAAGTAAGAATGTTATGTATAGTAGATATATTTCAGAATATAGTCGTTACATAATCCTGTAAGACTATGAACGATCAAAATAAAAATTTTTTTTATAAATACAAATTTATTTTCTACAGTAGATTATAGTTTTCCTATTAGAAACTAGAGTACAAAGATAACAATTAAAATAAAAAAATTTTATTTTGTTTTACTATGATTAACTAAAATTAAAACAAGATAGATTTCATCGTTTACACAAATGTTTACATATTACATTACATTAATTGTTCATAAGTTTATAGAACTATCGTTATGTATGTCATTAGTCTCTTCTCGATGATCTTTATTCTTACAATAATTTATATGTATATTTTTTTGCAATTAATGCAATTCGCAACAAAAGAATTAAATGAGAAATTTTTTTGAACATTTTAAACGTATTGCTAATAAAAAAAATTACAATTTTACACACACGTTACTGTAAAATGTATATGTATAAGTACAATGTTTACCAGCAATACATTTTTGTAGTTACAAGATTATATGGAATAACAAGAAATCGGATAGTGACGATCTTCGCAAAAAAATTAATATTTTTAAATATTTGTGTAGAATTATTTGATTGAAGCAAAATAAAAATATTTAGTTTTATTTAGGTCTTGGTTTATTTTGTGGTTTGTTTCCAATTTGTGTACTACCCCCACGACCCAATGGTGCTGGACCTCTTCCTCCTCTGCCAAAGGTACCTGTAAGACATTGAATAGCAAATTAATTGTTTCAAAGGAGTATTTTGACATTTTCATTGAGAAAAAAATCTCAAAAATTGACAGTTAAAAAAATTACGTTTAGATACATTTTTTAAATGTAGAGTTAATGATTTTATAAAAAAAAATTGTTACCTCTTCCACTGCCACGTCCTCTCTGATTCTGGCCTCGACCTTTCATCTCGCCACGTCCTCTTGATTTCATTTGTATATCTTCCTTTACCATGTCTATTACTTCATCTGGGATCCTTAGATATTTTATTGTACTGCCTCTTATATAGCATTCCGGCATCCTCCAGAACTTATCACCATCCTAACACAATTAATGAGCTGAATATCTATAGCTTAACTCTATTCATTAATTATAAATTAAACATTTCTGATTAAAAAAATTAGAAAAATAAAGTAAATATATATAAATATTAGCATATAATAGGAACCGATATTAAATGCTTTAAAACTAAATATACTGGTAAGTTTTATTTAGCTTTAGTTTTTATTATAGAAGATTCGATTACAACTTGTTCGAATAGTATTATTTTTTGTATTTATTTCATAAGTCCGTCTAAACTTAAGCTAAATTAAGCAATTTATACTTATCATATCAACATGTGACTATATCTATTACCGAATACTTATTATCAGATGAAGAATTCGTTATCCATTTTAATTCTAATAATTTGTAACATTGAAAATGTGATTCTATTGCAGTCGAAACGTCTGTCAAATTGTAATTTTCAAAGACCTTATTAAAGTGTTTTATTAAATTTTAAATAATGTAATATATTGTTCGATAGATTTACTTGGCTCTTTGCCCTTCTTATATTTGTATTGTTTTAAGCAAAGAAGTTTTTATGCACACAATAATATCCTTACCCTTGACGTACATATAACCTCTCTGAGGTTTATATTCATCCAGTTATCGCAGCTGACTAAATGACCGTTGTAGGTTTCCCCATTTTTCAGCTCCACCAACTGCAATAAAATACTTAGTTAGATTATTAATACAGTAATATACAAGGCCTCTTTAAACATTCTTCTTCAAGAAATATACACAAATCCAGAACTTACCATGGGGTGGTTTTGCGCTGTTTTTAGCAAAGTCAGAGGTAACTGAAAAGAATTAAATATGATGTATTAAAGGAATGAGGCGAGTCTTTTAATTAAAATGAGAATAACATGCTTACCATTATTATAATTTATTAAAGTCTACTTTCTCGATATAGGTTATGCGTCAACAGTCTATCAGATTTGAAAATAATTGTCTCCGAGCGCCAACTATTGGTGAGATTTTCCTCCATCGAGTTGTATGTATCCTTTCCCTACTTTACCTTTGAAAAAGTATAAATCAAATAATTGCAAAAAAGGCGCTGCATAAATAAATTGTTCCAATTGAATATAGTTGAAAGATAAATTTTTTTTTCTAAAAAATTCAAATAAATATTCATTTAAAAGTGAAAGAGTATAATATTATATATTATTTCTATATATAAATTCTACAATTTTATTTTATATAACAGTCTATTAAAAAATAGTAATAAATTTTTACTTGTAAGTAAATTATACGTTTCCCATCTTATGCATATGTTATATTTTAAATTAACGAACATGATACACAAATAGATAATTATATAATACAAATAATGCAAATACGATAATTATATAAATACATAAATTGCTTAATTTCCATTTACATACAAGTGAATCTGAAATGAATTAAGTATGAAATACTCAAATTACCATATAATAACGTCATTATTTTGCTTATTTTGATAAAAAGTTATTACATGGCAACACGTATAGATATAATAGAATCTCACATTTAAAGTGAGTTTACGAGATTCAGTAAAGCATGATACAGTCTCGATTTTTTGCAGATTGTTGGTAAAAACTCAATTGAATCTCATTTGTCAGAATGCAAAGGAACGCGCAATCAATTGAAATATGACGTTATAAGTGAGAATTATCTGAAAATCAGTGTAATAATGGAAAGCAACTATATAATTAGACGACGTCTATAAAAACCCAGTGAGAAATGACAATGGAGAGAATCGACGTTGAATCGACATCAATTCGATGTCGATTTCATTATCATTTCTCACTAGGAATGGACTCATTCATATTTATTGATGTCATATATCGAAACTCTAATATCTCGTCTATCTATCGTTGATCTACGTGACCGTCGATAATAAACTGCTTCGATTTTAGGCTGCCAAATCGCCCGATCGATGTACGTATTTCAGTTGCAATAGCCGTTCATTCAAGTCTGTTGCATAATGTGAGAATTGCATAAATAGAGCAGTTTTGTGAATGAAAACGTCTCGCGATGTCACAATGTCGACACGCTAAACTTGTTACGTTATACTTTAAGATCTCTGGCGAGATCTCGACGATTGAATATAACGTGTATTATAATTTTGCTTCGATTCGCTCTTTAGTGTGATACTCGAAACCAGGTATTTGATGCAATTTATCAGTACTAAAAGAATGCTCTTTTCGAAAAAAAAAAAAAAAAAAAAAAAAAAAACAATAGTTAAGTTAAAATATAAATTTATTTTTTGTTTTTAATATTTATTTTTTTAAATTAATATTAGAAGCTAAATATATATTTTATGTATAAAAGTACATTATAGATTCTTAATTTAAATAAATATATTTCCAAATATGAATAAAATAAATGAGATAAGTCAGAAACAAAATCACTATGCGAATATAAATATGCAACAGTTTTATTTTGATTGTGTTGCAAGTCTAAAACGTAATAGACGCGGGGTCATATATTTGAAAAACACAAAAACGTATTTAAAATAAATAATACATATATAGAGAATCATATTATTCTAATATCTAAGTTTGGCTGCAGTTGGCAGCCTTCTTCTTAGTTAAAACAGATGAATTTTAATTTCGCAATTTGATCAAAATAATGGCTTGTTCGTCATAGGCTTTGATTACATGACAATCGCACAGATTACGACGCTAAGTTATTACATATGCGATCGTCTCGCAAAATATGAATTAATACGATATTAACGAGCGGAATGATCTGGCGGTACTAGAACAATTGGTGTTTTTTAATCGGAGCCTCCCCCCCCCCCTCCCCTTCGTGTCGCCGTCTCTTATTATGTTTATATGTTCGCCAACAATGTCATGTTTTACATACACTTCAAACGGACATACGCGCGACCGGTTCCTCGTCAGCACGCAAGCTCGCGGATAAAGTGCATACATATACCCGGCTACGCGGACTCATCCGGCGAAAAACAACTTACGCGCGCGCGAGACACTTCGGCATTGTCGCGCACGACCAGTGCTTCGCACCGTGTACTCGGCATTGTCGCGCTGCATCGCGCGGGCTGTATCGCGTGTAACTGCAGCACGACAAAATATAATTAAAGTCGTCGAGAAATTGGAGATTAAGGATTCTGGACACACACCTGCGAACGCACGCCTGAAGGCTGAAGCGTAATTGTAAGTATGTCATCTGAAAGCCGTCCTCTTAATTGTTCCTTTTGCCATCTCTTGTGGATTCATCCTCGTGCCTGTCTGTGAGAAAAACCTCTTCTCGAGCTTATATTAAGGGATTGGATTCGATGTAATGTATATTGTAGTAGTTTATCGTGTCATTCTTCAAGTACTCGAATGCAATTAAATTCCGTTCTGTAATTATAATCACAGCGAATTATATTTTTTGAATCTTTATATATATCCCTGCAAGTAATACTAATTTGATATTTATGTTAGACTAATCAACTGAATAAAAGTAAGTGAACAAAACATTTGGGCTTCGTGCATTATATGAGAAAGTTTGAACTGCAAAGGATTATATAATAGTAACTTTTAATTAGTTGATAAAAACGTCGTATTCTAAATATAAATAACTCTTGTATAATTTAAAATTAAATAAATTAAAATTATGCATTTATATATATATTCTAAATTATAGCCTTGCAATATGAAATGCAAAATATACTCTCAACTGACTTTTAAAATAATTCAGAAACTTTTTTCAGATTTTAACATAAAGATGCTTTCTCTCTCTCTCTCTCTCTCTCTCTTTTTATAAAGATTCTTCGATCCGTCCATGATTATGAATAATACATTACATATCCGTTCAGATTACGGAAGTCATGATTTCCGCAACCTGTTGCCGAACTATTAGCAATACATTATACTGTTATATATCGCTAAACATCTAGGATTCAATGTTTCGTGGTGAAGTTTACAAAACGTATATTTGCCATTCTGCTTAACCGATAATGCGAAAGAGATAATAGAAAAGATAAGCAATGACACGCAGAATTCGTAAAAGCAGTTTTTTTTTTCAGTAAAATATGATTTCTGAAAATAGCGCGAATCGACAACAAAATTTTAGCAAAAACATTTGCTTCCGCTGAAAATTAAGTCATTTATCGGCAATTATTTACCAGCAAGAAATCGTAAAGGCGTCTATCATAGAACTAATTGAAACGGATTTAATTATATTCTTAAGAGTCCATCGAAACTGATTTAATTATTCTTGTTTAATTATATTCTAAGATTTCCTAGACTTCTATTTCTAAAACGGCATAATTCTGGTCAAAGTTTCGATGATAGACGCTTTTGCGAAGTGCTCAGATCAATATATACACAAATCAATGATGTCATCCGTGTTTTATCGGTGCGAGCAAAGCTGAGCAAAGCCAAATAAACAAAATACAGACTGATTTAGCGTAGGAGTCTGCAATTTAAAATCATAGAACCGCACTCGTGTGATATTCGAGAGAGATGTGAAAGTAACTGTCAGTCTTATAAAAAAAATTATAAAGAGGACGCATCTCGGTAACGTGATCGTTTGTTAATGCTAGATCGCGTTATCTCTTATTAAATATTATTATCGGTATGATATACTAAAAAGATAAGTGCAAGTCATTTTTTGATAAGATCACAAGAGTTATGCATATCATATATGAATACATTATATTAATAAATAACGGTTTTTTTACATGTCAATTTCTAGAGATTTTTTAATCAGGGAATTGATTCCATATCTTGATACGAGATAAAAATTACAAAATTGAGCGAATTTTTTTTTATTAAAATATTTATAATTTTATTGGTCAACATCTAGCTTTTTTGCTTACTTATTTTGTAATTTTCACCTCGTTTCAATACAGAATCGACCTAGAGAGACTAGATACTAGTCGCGTTTTGTATGTATATATACAGTCTCTAGTTTTAGCAAAATCACGCGATACACATACATTTATTATTCGTTTTTCTTTCTGTTCTATCTTTTTGTGATCTCTTTCCTTCTCTCTCAGGAGTTGTTGAAATATGACGGACCAATCAAAAGTGGCTGTATATTTCACGTCTTGACTCTGATTAAAGAGTTTCTATCAATATTTAATGCCAAAAGGTAATATCCTTTCTTTATCGAACAATAAGGCAACGAATGTTGACAATTTAATAATACTCTAATTTTAAGTTGTTATCATAAATTATTTGCAAGACCTTCATGAACTTTAAGGGGAATGCGCGGTTTGCTTGTCGAAATTATTTCTATATAGAAACCTAATCGAACATTACGAAAGTGACTGAAACAGTAATCGTAATCCGCAAATGTGGTTTGAAATGGGAAAATAGTAAAATACATATCGCGTGATGCCGATAAAAGATGACGATCATCGATTCGACGAGTAGCACGAACATATGGCATGTATGTATAATAACATTGATGAAAGCAGAAATGAGCTGGTGCGTGCATAAAGTCCGATAGAAGTCCATCTTGGCCACGACTTGACTGAAAATGACTGCTACAACCACGTGGCCATTTGCCGTCTACGTGATTATAAGAAGCAGCTACAAAAGCTGCGTACGCGCTTCATTTACATTTCACCGTAAAAGTACGGACGAGGTCGAGACTTCCGAAGTATCGACTTTTATACCCTGGAAACAGACCACGTTTATTATTATTTAAAGTTGTGTTATACGAGTCTATAGGTTTCTCTCACCTTCTTTAAGCTATTTTAAATATTCAAGGTATTTTAAGATATATGTTGAAGAGATATTACGATATTGCGATAGATAGTGCGCAAGTATTATCGCGATATCGTATGTTATTAGTAGTCTTTTGCACCTTTTTTAGTAGGACGAAAAATCGTGCTGCCAGCAGTGTTCACGCTATTGTCAATCAAAATTTAAATCCTCTTTAGGATGATATATATATTAAAACTGTCTTATTTTACTATTATTTAAATAGAATTCTTAATTTACAAGGTGGATGAGTTTTTGAATTCATCGATTGATCAATCGCATTGTGCTCAGATGTAATTTTGTTCTGTAAAAGTTACATTTGCACATAATGCGATTAGATCAATCGATGAATTGAAAAACTCTCCCTTTTTTATTATTAAAAGTCAATTATTAAAAGTCAATCTATTAATTAAAAAATAAACGTAAAATTCAAGACACTGTATAGTTTTTTTTTTTTTTTTCAGACATTACGATTATTTTTATTTGTAGAATAAATAAAAGCAGCTGACGAAGACGATTAATTATACGAAATTTAAACAGAAAGCATTAAAACATTTGTGACAATATAATATATTGACAAAGAGAGCGAAAAGAGGGCAAGAAAAATTTTTAACTTTATAATATATAATTATTAATTATATTGTGCCACTAATATTTTTTACGTTTCTGTTATTTTTCTAATACTGTCAACAGTACTGTAAATATTAATTACAAAATGAATGACTGGGTGAATAGTGGATATAATCATTTCCATATCTATTACCTGTCGCAATCAGTCTTCTGTCTGCGGATCCTAAAATTTCTAATATTCTTAAAACTTTGAAAACTTTTTTATTTCTGCAAATACAGGTTTCCTTAACAATGTTTCATAACGTAAAATTTTGTATTTTGTCATGTTTGTTATCTTTTGTTGTTAAAAAAAGAAAAATATTTCTGAACCTCTCTTCCTCAAAAGTAAAAGGACTTACTTTTATTCAGATAATCAACTTTTTTTTTTATTCAGATAATTTTTTATTATTTTAACAATAGTCTTTCCTTTTGAAACGAAATCCTCGAGTTGAATTCCTCAGTTCTCATCAATAACTCATAGCTCCGCTTCAGCATATTACTGTAACATTTGTTGTTAATTGTGTACGTCGTTTAAATAAAAATTAAATAATTTAATTGAGAGAAGTTTTTCTGCTTATTCCATTTAAAGTATTACGATTTCATGTTTTGTATAAGATATAAAATTATTCAGAAATTTGGAAAAATTATTACTTGAATAATTCTATAAGGAAAATGTTCACAAGGGTGACATCGAAACATTTTTCCGCGTTGAGAGGTACATAATTTATAAGCACGTTTAGAAATGTTTAATGGTATATATAGTCCTCTCTATATGCAGAATTACTACTTTCAAAAAGTATGATATGGTGTCTTAAAATAATTAACGATCTGGACAGAGGTGTGGGTAAAATCAATCTCCTCATTGCAGAATGTTACAATAATAATCGGTGCCGTACGCGGAGTCGCGTCGGCACTCGCAAATATTGACAGATCACCACGACCAAGTTCTTTCAGAGTGAACTGCTATAATATAGATTAGAAATCGATTGGCTTTGATAGAAATTGCGGAATCCCTTATTCGGTCATCGAAGCGCGCTTCGCGCCCGCGACTGACTTCGTATCGTGAGCACATTAAAACGTCGTGGTATTGTCTGTACATGCTTTAATGCTTTAATACAGGAGATCGTAAGTCTAGAGTTCGTCCTCGGCGAAGGTCGAGTCGAATCTTGAATAAAGTATGAATGCTCTGCGAAATATCCATATGTTAGAGCTGCGGAGGTACGCATAATTGTGGGTCACGTCGCACGAAGGTCTTTTACCTTTTACCACCTGTGTTTCGGTTCAAGGCCGAGTCTATACCGATGAGTTTGTACCTCGCCTATATTACTTTTCGTAAAAAAAAAAAAATCGAAGCGTACATAAATTCGACCACAGAAAGCGTCTTGCTTAAGGATTTATTGTACTATGTTTTTTTAATAAAATGAAAAAATTAGATTTTTCTAGATTTTTTATATTTAAAAGTAATAAAAAGTTTGGCAATATTAAGAACCTGAATAAATAATTATACTTCGATAAGAAATAGACGTTTTTAAAAAATAATTATGATAAAATAAGAAAATTTTCGTTTAAACTATAAAATTGTATTAAGTATCAATAATGGCTTTATTATATAACATTCAATTTTATCTAATATACTTGATGTATTCTTAATAGACATAACAAGATCAATTGTTTAATGATCTACTTTAGTAAATTATATAAAATGAGAATATAAAATTGGTATCTAGAACAAAATATAATAAAAAATTAAAAACAATACATACAATATAAAAAGGTTACAGAAGTCAGCGCTGGATATACAATAGCGATAATTTTAATAATAATCAAATATAATATCTGACATATAAATCTCTTGAATTCGAATAAATATAATATTTACACGTATAAATGATTTCAAAGAAAAAAATTGAATTATATAAACAATTGAGATTGATAATTGAGACTTTATGTAAGTTTTGGGAATAAATTCCACAAGATTAACAAGTAAACCAAGAAATTGTCTAAATTATAAAATCGATAAATAGATATATATCAACGTCATTAACGATTTCCGATACATGACACTGTCCTTGTAACTACAATAG